GCAACATTTACTTAGGTCATGAAGGAAGCTTAAGAAAGAAAACAATTGTGATTTCCTACCCAGGTATTCCTAAAAATTTTCTCGATTATGTACTCTAGTTCAACCAGAAAGTCTGAACTTGAGAACTGGGGATTGATTGACCCAAATTTATTTTTAGGCTAATGTGGCAGGCTTTATTACATTACTGTAATGTAATAATTCTTTTACATGTTAAGATGCTCTTTTAATCTAAAAATGAATGAATATATACAACAGTACTTCTGTAATTTCTTTCTTGGGTGACCAATGGTCAGGACATTGAGCAACAAGACAGTAGAACACTATGTTGATACAGAAAGAAAAATATACAGACCTCGGAGCTTACAGTAACAATAGAAAACATCAAATCCTTAAGATGTATACAAAAGATGCTTCTAATATGAGCCCTAAAAATGTCAGTTCCCAATTCAGTGTATGAAATCAGCTATATACATAGAACCAGAAATGGAAAATTGCTACTTGTCTCAATACAAAATAACGTAATTGAGAAGTGGTGTTTGATAACCTGTAAGAAAAGCCCAGTGGAAATATTACTGACCAAAGCACATTCTGCCTTGTCTTGCCAAACTGCTGGCAGTTGTCCTTGTGCCCCTTCTATATTTAAGAACAAGGAAAGTCTATCACCACATAGTATTTCCAGTACCTGTTCTAAAGCTTTTTGAATGATTATTTTTCAGTGGATGAAGACACTCCAGTATTAAATACATAAAATATAAAATTAATATAGACATAATATAGACAATATAAGCTATTACTCCTGAACAAGTACACTGAGAGCAAGACATACTGTTAAAGTTTGTGCACACTAAAATTCTAAAGAGATTCAGACTTATCTCCATTTCCTTTCAGTTATGTTTTTAAGCCTCAGCACACTGAGCCATGGAATTAAACTAGCATTTGGAAGAAACCCCAACATATTCTCATACTTACCAAGGAAACAACTAATGTGAAGAGCCAGGCATAGATGAAGAAGTAGTCCCCCCCTATTTTAATAATGTAAAGCAGAAGGGATGTCACTGGCAAGAGAATACACTGAGTCACGATAAACTTCTTGATAGCATCCTTAAAAAAAAATCCCAGTGTCTGTAAAGAAAGGATATTAGTGATATTTTCAATATAAATATTGTTGTGCCACAGTGGTTTATGAACTCTTCTCTTCGGTGGATGCACAGAAACAAAGTTAGACAAATTGCAGAACAGCAATAACAATGTGATAAGGAAATCTGAGTCAGTTAAGAAAAGGTGGAAGAACCTTTTCACCTCCTCTCCTGGCAGTTGTTGGCTCTTTAGATCCACATAGACTCCAAGCCCACAGAGATGCACTCTTCCTTAATAAGATCTGACCCAAACCCTTATTTGGTGTTGCACACACATACTTCATTAAAGGAGAAAATAAAAATCTAAGCTTATCTGTCCCTTAATTCATTTACCAATCTATATCCTGGACGTTATGGGATTTTTAGAGAATAGGAAACTCTTAAAGAAACACAGCTACTGTAAAATATCTCGTCTTTGAACAGTTGCCTCCATTCGTGTTAACTTTCAGTTACCACTAAGCTGATTGTCTTAAGTCGAAATATATAGAAGTCCTAACAAGGATTTTTAGATATATATTGGGCATTTTACTCCAAGCTTCTGCTCACATGCAGTTACTACTCATGTAGCTGTCTCAGGTTTTAAAATGAGCATAACTTTAATAGAAGCAAAAGAAATTTCAAAGACCTCTACTTGAATGAATCTGATCTAGTGACTCTGCTAGACACCCAACTAGCTCTTTCAGGAATTGTTACTTCAGTACTTACAGCTATCTGCAAGGCACATAAGTGAGGGGGTTATTATGTAAAGATCCTTCCCAACAAGGTTGTAATAAAAAGCCCATACTACATTAAAGATATGGAACTCGTCTGGAAAGAAAAAAAATACTGGTGAAAGATTTAAATAAGAACTAAGGACTTGAGGCAAGAATTTGGATAGATGCCTTCATGACTATCAGAAACACAAATCAGACATGAACCCACAATTTTAGACTATTCTTTCTGTAGACATATTCACTCTAGTCACACAGTGAACACTGTGGTGATATATTCTTGCTAAGTGACCATTAGTATCAGCAGACACAAGCCCACACAAATGGGGCGCTCCAGAAAACACTGTTCCTTGCCTGCATTTAATATTCCCAGGTAGTGTGGGCTACCTTTTCCAGCAAAACAGTTCTGCAACTAGAAAAGTAAGACTTGTGGCTCTCACACACATTAAGCAGTGGTCCTTTGCTGAAAAGGGTGTGGAGAAGCATGAAAGAAACTCTGTGGGTCATCCTGGACAAAGGAAATTTTTTTTCTGTTTGATCAAGACTCTTAAACTGGTACAAGCCAAGAGAGAGAGAAAACATAATACACAACAGTGTGTTCCTCCTTGATTACTCCTCAGCTCAGCCAGAAAAATGCCTGTTATATAGCTTTTTCATTTTTTAGCTTAGTAAACAGCTGAAGACAGTTACTTAATATAACCTAGAAGAAATCTTAACACAAGCCTGCTGCCAGTGCTGTTTGCACTGGGCTTTCTGAAACACATTAACTACAATCCATTTAGCTCGAGTCTTTATTTTAACTCTTTCTTTACTTTCAGCTCCACAATCTAGGAGGAGCAGAGCTATAAAATTGCATGCTGTCTTTCATCTTTGCCCCACTTCTTTGCTGCTTTCTAAGGCAGATGTGACTTCAAGAGAAACCCTCATTTTCAGCAAGCCACTCCCATGGAAGAAATAATCTATCTGAAGATTATTTCAGAATCATTGCTAGAAATACCAAAGTCTGAGCTGGTACCAGGTATGAATTTGTCTCATTCACTAAAGGACCTAGTCCATCAGTCTGAAATTAAAGATATTAAAGACAGAGATTTGACTGTGTTTGTAAGACATTTGGTATCTGAAATTGGATTGGAGGTGGACTCGGGCTTCAGTTCTTGGCATGAGGACCACTCCAGTGAAAAGAACCTTGTAAAAGCCATCATGCAGGTAGGTTCATCAAACACTTAACACCCATAGGTGTCAGTGCCAAGTCTTCCTTTTCTCACGCGATTAGGCACAATGCTTGCATTGACAACAGTGAAGCACCCAGAGAGCATAGCTCCAAGGAGAAAATGTTTGGAGGATATATCCAGAATCCTTCTTACCCTCCCTAAAGCATACAAAGAAACCACATGGATTCTGCAAGCTCTCAAAACAATTGTAAAGAAGCCCAAGCTGCTAAGTTCAGCATTTGATCCTCTGCTTCTTCTGCACAGAGGTAGGGCCTGATCAAGGCTTGATCAAGTCAAGCTCTACATTCATCAGCTAGTCTGCTCTACTTCTAGTGCTTTACAAGTCCTAATACTAACAGTCTTTAGACTTTTGTGTCCTGGACACAAAGGGCTTGCAGATCTGGCATCAAGATGGAACTTATTCCTCACTAAGGTAGGAGAGACAATCAAGGTGCAGACCTGGTGCAACTATCAGGATTAACATGAAAGGTGACAATGAAAGTTGACTTTTGATGTGTACTAAAGGATTCTGAGTGTCAAAAGGATGTCTAGGCCAGATCAGGGCACAAGCACATTGCAAGAATTAAGACTTAGCCAGCCCGTACAGTTTTTGAGGACTACAGAACAGAAGTGATAGCCAGAGAACAAACAAAATACATCAAATAGGCATTTCCCCAAAGAAGAGATTGTTTGACTCATACTCTGGAAACGCAGGAACATTCCTCCCTCCCTTGATAGGAACAAGACGTTACCCTGCCAGCACGCTCACTGTAAAGTCTGCAGAAGGGAAGGGGATGTCTAGGACTATGGCTCAGAATCACCTGGGATATGAATGGCCATGTGCAACATCATTCTGAGAATGAGTATTTACTGGCTGGTAAGAGAAAAAAGTGATTGTTAGAAGTAACACATATGTTTTTAGAAGCACAGCGGATTTTTATAAGACTAGAGAACTAAACAGAGTATAAAAAGAGTTCCGAGTTGGTCACAAGCTTACGGCTTATGACTAACTGGAACAATCTTCAGATTTGTTCCTAAAGACTGCAGCAGGAGCCACCATTAGCACAGGATCCAAACTTTGGGGGCAGAAGAGGGAACCAAACAAGCCTTCCAATTCCCAGGAATACACACAGATGTCAAGGCAAAATTGTGCAGTGAGAATTTTCACAGTTGGGCTTTCCTGGAAAGAAAATAGTATGCCACTAAATAATTGACATGAACCAAAACAATACAGGATGTGTCAGGACCTACACACTTCTGTTTTAAAGATGATTGAGAGAGGGTGCAAACTGGATCATCACATTTAGAGCTTTTTTTCTCACTTACTTTCTTATTTGTTTGATAAAAAGGAATAAGAAACATAAATTTATCAATTTACCATGAATATAACGAGTTTAGAAACAAACGGATTCTGCTTCTTTAGTACTAGCTCAGTCTTCCTGCCCCTATAGAAACTAGAAGATAAAACTGGCAAATACCAGAGCATCTATACCCTTACTAAAATGAGCCAATCAGCTTTATCCCACATCTGCTACCCAGCCAAATTTCATTTGACTGTAAAAAGAAAAAAAACCCCACAAACTTCCGAGTAGACTTGGAACAGAAAGTACTGTAGACAACACTAGCTGGGTCCAAAAGCAGAAAACAAGTCTTATGCTCTGGCACGAAGTGGCTAATGAACAGATTGAGGTTCCTCTCTCAAAAGGAAAATTTGATCCCATGAGAAACTGATACTGAAACAGGTTACACTAAACTGGCAAGAGAAATTAAGAATGCTAGGGCTGATATTAAGTGGGTACTTAGCAAAAGTACAAATGAAGAGTTGAATTCTCTAATTTAGTAACAACTGACACAAGAAATCACTAAGTGAAACAAAATGAGGAGTAAAGTAATTTCTTGGTTTTGTTTCATCTGTTCAGTGTCCATGAATCAAAACTGCCCCTGTTAAGCAGTGATCCAGACTTCTCAGGAAGGGCATATGAACAGTAAAGAATAGTTCACCCAAAAATGAACAGCTGAGTATGCAATGTTCTTTGTTCCACTGCTAGAATGCACGCTTTTCTCTGCTCAGAGACATGGGCTCATGCAGAGACGACCTGGTATGGCATGGGTCCTTCTGCAACAGTCACAAAATGTCACTGCTCTTATTTTTATGCAGTGCGAGTAGAAATGTTCCTAAAACTAATGATCTTTGTCACAGATATGGACTTACCAGTCCATTTAACCAACCAAACCTATTGAAGATGTTAGGTTGTTATAAGTTCTAGCTACAATACCTGTTGATTGAAGCCGTGTTTCTCTTCTATGACAAATGTGTTATACAAACTCCATGGGAGACCGGTCACTGCACTGAAGAGAGTTGCAAGCAGCAGAAATACCAATGAATGAACAATCTAAAAAAAAAAAAAAAAAACCAAAACAAAACACCACCAAAATTTCTGATATTTACTGATTTGCACTAACATTAAAAATTCCAGGTGTTAAAAATGAATTTTATGTCAGTGGTTTAACTGAAACTGATCAGAAGATGAAACTAGATAAAAATCACAGAAATGACATGTTTGTGATGCTTAGATTATTGATCGCTGGCATAGCTTATTATGTTAAAGAAAGAAAAAAATATACTGGTTAAACAGATTTAAATAAAAACTAAGGATTTGGGACAAGAAGTTGGATAGATTTCTAATATACAGCACAAAGATAACATAAGCAGGAACCTTAAATTTCTTAGCTTTTCAGATCGCATCTAGGATTAGTAGAAAAACAACACCCAAGCAAAAAGCCCCCAAAAACCCAACCCACCACTTCATTCGACTGAAGTAGCTTTGAGACTTTTATGTTTTTAACATATAAGGCTATTTTAATTAGTAAGCTATCTTAAAAGTCACATACTGTTACCAGTTCTAGGACTGACCCAATCATTGTGTTCACCAGAAAATATGTTAGTTTTCCTATATTGTACCTGTAGCTAAATCCCACTTCAAGTACATGCAAGCTTAAAAACAAAAATTATAACAGTATAGTTCATGGACCAAACATTTGCACTAAAATTTAAAGACTGCTTACCTCATATTCTGGTCCGAACCCAGCACGATCAGAGATGTGACCAGACAGATTCCAGAGAAAAGGAATTCCTCCACAGAGGAGAATCATCTTGAAAACAAAAACACATAGCACAGGGAATATGAAACAGATTGTTGCCTTACTCTACTAAAATTGCAGCAGAATAAGGAACTTTTAAGGGTGAATGAGAAAAGCCTGGAATATTTGGCAATGGTTCATTTTTACTTTACAGAAGTAGATCAAGGGGGTTTTTAGTTTGTTTGTTTTCCTGGGACATACTAGCATATTTCCAAGCCTATTTACTGAAGATTTTGCTGCTATATTGGCCTAGACATAAAGTACATTTTTCAGAAGATATTAAAATTCATTTGCCCTATTGTTGTACAACATCCCATCTCTAGCAGGGGTGTGCAAGGTTCAGCAACTTGACTGCAACGGGACAGTCTCGCCTGCATTCCCTCCTGAGAGAAAAGCATTCCGAATAAGGCTGTAATTTCATTTTCAGTATTAGTGCTGCTTCAACTCTTTTCAGAAAGCTTCATGCTCTCCTCCTTGTGCCTCACAATGCCTCTTGCCATACAGGCTGCCAAGGAACAGGGAGTGGACTACTTGGGACATATCACCAAAGAAATGCTTGACACAGAGCTACTGAAGCAAGTGCTAACTGTAGTTCAAGGCAAGGGCTGGTAGTGTCTGTTAAACAGCTTGACTTCCAAATGTTTCAAATTCACTTTCTTGGTAAGTGTTGCATCACCATATATACAAAAATCAGCTTTCAAGTAGGCAGCCTTCCAGTATGGACAGTACCACGTTTTTATTTACTTGTTTATTTTTGAAAAGGCTTAATCTTATAACCTAACTATTAGAGTGCATTTTGAATGTCAGCAGGAGATGGAAAGGACCAAAGCAAGCTTGTTTCTCTTTTGCTGGCTACCTGTAAGTTTCAGAACCAGAAATCCTAGAAGTACCAATACCAAGACAGTATGATGATGATACTACTTCTTAGTTAAAAATAAACCCACATAATTAATGCCTGAAGTAAATCAAAGCATACTATTCATTCTAACACAGCATCTCCCCTTCAATTAACTTGCTAGGTTAATGAATCATACTTCTACCTGCTAAAAGCAAAATGTTCCAAAACTACCATCCAATTGCATCAACTTTGTCCACAACAGCCTCTTTCAAGTTCAGGCAGTTCCAATGCAGGATGCCATTTATGCTCTAAGGAAGTGGCAAAGAGACAATAGAGGCCACCTCACTTTAGCTCTGCTGGAATCTGATAATCCCAGGACAGATTCTGAGAAACAGGAACACACAGCTCAGTATCACAGAAAGGAGCAATAGCCCATCATCACATACATGTAGAGAAGAAGCGGCAAGTACCCTACACATCAGGGGTAACAGCTTGATTGCAGAATAGAATAATGGAATCATTTATGTTCAACAAGACCCTTAAGATCAAGTCCAACCGTTAACCCAGCACTACCAAGTATATCACTAAATACCTCCATCAATGGTGACTCAACCACTTCCCTAAGCAGCCTGTTCCAGCGTTTGATAACTCTTTTGGTGCAGAATCTTTTCCTAATATCCAATCCTAACTGCCCTTGGTGTAACTTGAGACCATTTCCTCTTGTCCTGTCACTTGTTACTTGAGAGAAAAGACCAACCCCCACCTCTCTCCACCCTCCTTTCAGGTAGTTGTAGAGAGTGAGAAGTTCTCCCCTCAGCCTCCTCTTCCCCAGGTTCAACACCCCCGAACTCAGCACACTTGTGCTCCAGGCCCTTCCCCAGCTCCACTGCCCTTCTCTGGACATGCTCCAGCACCTCCATGTCCTTCTTGGAGTCAGGGGCCCAACACTGAACCCAGCACTCGAGCTGCAGCCTCACCAGTGCAAAGAGTAGAAAAGGACAATCCCTGGTCCTATTGGCCACACTATTGCTGATACAGGCCAGGATGCTATTGGGCCTCTTGGCCACCTGGGCACACTGCTGGCTCATATCCAGACGGCTGTCAACCAACATCCCCAGGTCCTTTTCCACCAGGCATCTCTCCAGCCACTCTTCCCCAAGCCTGTGGTGTTGCATGGGGCTGTTGTGATCCAAGTGCAGGATCTGGCACTTGGCCTTGCTGAATCTCATACAATTCGCCTCAGGAATGAGAAACGTATGAAGAAGCTGTCTGAAATCTAATTAATAGCCTTAGTTACAATACCATTGCTGCAGCCTTCAGACCAGAGGTATTTTCTCAATTAGGAAGAATGCTGCAGCCATGACAGCGTAAAGGTAAGCAGGAAAAGGTTTGTACATCATGTCTTTTATTTTTTTTATTAGGTTGATCACAGTAAGCGGAACAAGCAGGTGGGTTTTTTTGGAAACACAAGCTCTTCTTCAAGTCTGAAGTGAAGCCAGCAGACTTCAGTACAAGTGAGAACAAGTTCTCAGAATCTAAGAAGATGCGTATCAAGTCCAGAGGTGTTAGCAGCAGCAGCAGATGGAGGAAGATTAGAGTGAGTTGGATATTCAGTATCTCTGCTAAGTCCACGGTACACAGCTGGAAGTTCTCAATGTTTCACAAGCTATTATCTCAAAAAATAATCACCCTAGTGATTTGGATTACTCCAAAGGTAATGACTACTTTATCACTCAAAGTTCTCCAGCTGCTAACTAATTCAGCTCTGAACTTTCTTCCAAGCTTGTATTATCTTTTCAGCGTATAATTGACATTACTGACCAGAAGCAGCTTTACATGCCTCCAAGATTGTCTAGTTTTTTAGACAAGTTAGTGCAGTTGGGAAAGTGCTATTATCTAGATTTTATTCTGATCTTTAAAACATACTAAAAAAAAGGTACCATAAGGGTGTTTTCCAATTCTGTATTCCAAGAAAACCTCTTGTCCTGGGATGACAATGAGGGTGCATGCCTGGAATTTCCATTCAAGTGTAATTTTCCCTTTGCAGGAATAAAATAATCAGAAAAAAACTGATGGTGCTTTCCTATGGAGAAGGGAAAGTAAAGGAACACAATTTAAAGGACAGGAATTCTAAACACAAGGGCAGAAGAGAGGACTAGCTGTGGAGATCTTCCAAAGCTCACAGTTGGCTACGATATACTTCACTTACATCGTTCAAAATGGGACTTGAGTGTTCAACCACAAACACAAATTTTATGATTTTAACATAAAACTCATTAAAAAAAATATACAAATGGCAGCCTTTCAAAAGTCCGTGGCAATGCTGCAAAGATGGAAGTGCCCAACCAATGTCCAACACCAACAGAAGTAATGTAAAACAATGTACGGAATTCAACGAAGAAACCTTTCTGCAGGGGTGACTGGGTATTAGGGATACTATATGGTTGTAAGTTACTCAGCTCTAGCTAAGCAAAACTTATGTTAATGGCGCTATAATGAAGAAATGTGATGTAGGAGCCACTGGACTTGCAAGAGTTATCTCGCTTCCACAAAGCTCTGCAACCTCTGCAGCAAATTTGTGAATGCAGGCACAGCTGAAACAGTGAAACAACAGGTAAGCTAAGGTGCTTGACTTTGTAACTGGTTTTGACTGCTTCTTGACTTTGTAACTGGTTTTGACTGCTGCTAAGGAAGTACCAGCATAGTCTGGGTTTTGTGGCTCAGTTGTGTTAGCTGGACGCAGTAATTTCTTTAACAGATCCATCAGTTGCCAAAATCACTGTGGACTCTTTATTACAATAACAGGAACCAAACAGAAAGAAAAGTTCACGAGAAAAAGCAAAGGCTGTGCTTTTCCTACACAGGCACAATCACAGAATGGTTTGGGTCAGAAGGGACCTTTAAACATATCTGGTCCAACTGCCTTCCCATGGGCAGAGACATCTTTCACTAGATCAGGTTGCTCAAAGCTCCATCCAGCCTGATCTGGAACACTTCCGATGAAGGGGCATCCACAACTTCTCTGGGAACCTGTTCCAGTGTCTCACCGTCCTCACTGTAAAACTTGTTCCTTACATCCAATCTAAACCTACCCTCTTTCAGTTTGAAACCGTTCTCTCTTGTCCTGTCACTCCAGGCCTTTGTAAACAATCTCCATCTTTTTTATAAGCCTCCCTTCAGTATTGAAAGGCCACAAGAAGATGTCCATAAAAGCTTTCCTTCTCTAGGCTGAACCACTCCAACTCTCAGTATTTCTTCATAGGAGAGGTTTTCCAGCCCTCTGACCGTTTTTGTGACCATTCTCTGGACCTGCTTTGACAGGCCCATGTCTTTCTTGCACTGGAGACACAATAGCAGTACTGCAGGAGGGGTCTTACTATAGTGGAGTAGAGGGAACCACCTCCCTCCATCTGCCAGCCATGCTTCTTGTGATACAGCCCAGGATATGGTTTGGTTTCCGGGCTGCGAGTACACGTTGCCAGCTCATATCCAATTTTTCATCCACCAGTATCTCCAAGTCCTTCTCCACAGCACTGCTGGGGAATCAATTTATCCTCCAGTCTGTGCTCATACTGGGGACTGCCCTGACCAAGGTGCAGGATCTTGCACTTGGTCTCGTTGAACTTTATGAGGTTTGCACAGGCCCACTCCTCAAGCCTGTTGAGGCCACCCTGGATGGCAGGCCTTCCCTCTTGCACATGAACTGCACCACTGAGCTTGGTGTCACCTGCAAACTTGCTGAGGGTGCACTCAGTTGTACTATGTCACTGAAGATATTAAATAGTATTTGTCCAAATATGGACCGTTGAGGGACACCACTGGTTTCCACTTGAACACTGAGCCATTGGCTATATAACTCTTCAGATGCAGCCATCCAGCCAGTCCTTTATCCATCTAACAGTCCATCTGTCAAACCCACAGCTCTCCAGTTTGGCAGCTAGAATGTTGTAGGGGAGTATAACAACAGTAAGCCTGCACAGACTGCTGATACAGCTCTTTGTTTAGCAGTGCAAGAGAGGCTCATCCCAATCATGTACATTTTCCTTAAAAACAACAAGAGAAGCTGTCTGGGCTAAAGCTCTTGAAATCATGATAAAGATTCAGAACCTTTTGACTTGTTGCACTTGCCAGGTGGTACCCTCTCACCCTGTCCACTAATCCACTGTTGGAGGATAGCTTCTCTTTTCAAATGAAATACTGTCTCTAAAGTCAGCCAAAAACATAGAAACTTTTCAGATTCACACAAAAATTGTCTTGAGTTCTACTCAGCATACCAAAAAGCCCAACATGAATATAACAGCTAGACTGACACACGTATAACAACATTTTTACAAATTCATATAAAATGGAAAAACGTACAGGTTTGGCTGCACAAAAGAGATCAGGAAATGCAACAGTTAAGAGAGGTCACAATTCTTAAGTACTGGTTTTGCATCACAGCTATACAGTTACATGACTATTTTACAATTCTATTTTCATTCTCTTTTATAACTGACCTTTTTGCTTCCTTAAGTTCATCATGTTGTAGATCACACTCTAATTGTACTTTGCAATGCCAGGCATTTCAGGATCCCTTTTTGACCCAGCTGTGTTACTGATGAGCAGTACATTTCAGCAGTTAAGTCAGAAAAGGTTTCTCTTAAGACTGTTTGTATATCACACATGTAAACATTTTGTCCTAACTCCATAGCTCTGTTTTTTCATATATGCCACCATAATTGTTCTTATGCTGAAACAGCATACACTGGTACTCTTCCTGTTCTTACAGGCTTTTCTTTCTACCTTCTACTTAAATTTTATCTAAAAATGAAGGTAGCTGCATCCCTGCAAACACAGAACAGGTCTTTATTTATAACAATTTAAAATTATTTTAATGTTGCTTAATTATTTGGCAGTGGAAATCATAACAGGTCAGTTGTGCCACTAAAACATAATAATATATGTTGCAGTAGTGCAGTATGACTCAGCACTGTATAAAAAAAATTAAATGTAGCCTGAATAATTCCTTCTTTTTATATGGCAAATACAGCCACAAAGAGAAACACAGAATCCTAGGCCTCCAAATTTCAGTGTTTGACATAAAACACCAGACTGGCAACAGTGCAGCTGCACAGGATGACTGATTCAAAGTATTTCACAGTTTAAGTACATGAAAAGTATCATGTGAATGCTAGAGTAGCTCAGGTACTTACAGTGCCCTCAACTTCTGAATACAGGCCTGACCAAAAGCTGAAAGTACTTTTGTCCAGCTGATACAGACGAGACTTTTCAAATGTTTCTGAATCCATGATCTGTCCTAATTCCTGTGGTACATGTGTTGTTGTTCTATACACCCGTCTCTGAAAAATTAGAAAAGAAATTCAAAGTCCACCTCCAATATTTTTAAGGAGATATTAAAGTAACACATAACACAGTCCCACGGCCCACCACAGAAAGTTTAAAACAAAACCCCAAACCCCACAAAATAACAGATATTCCTAAATACCTGCTTTCTATCAAGTTCCAAATATAAAATTCAAGTGTAATTATTATGTTATAACCAGAAAACGAGTTGCCTACTTATTAATTTATGTCCAATATAGTTACCACATAAAGATCACACAAACTCAGTTTTTCCCCAGGATGACTTACTGCACCACAACAAGGACTGAGCAGAGTTTTGAAACTAAACACTAGATTCTCCCTCGCCAACCATGCAACTTCACCAGAAAACGTATCTATGATGTGGCTGCATAAATGAGGTGCTATTTCATTTCCAGTAAAGAACTTGCCACCTTCAATTTTTTAACTGCCTTATCTTGTTTCAGTACGTTTATCCCTTCTCAAAGGAAAAGCTCCTACCTTTTGTCACTTCAAAATACATTCTTCCTCTGACAGGAGTACCAGGCCGCAGTCTCACAGATGACTTAGCTGATCTAATGGCGCACAAGAGTACGCAGCATCGCTTCCTGCCCTCCCAGCAGCAGTTTCCCCAGCTGTGCTGGCTCTGGCAGGGACGGAGTTAATGTTTTCAGCAGCCTGCACGTAGTAGGCTTTACATTTGTGGAAAATGCAGTGTGTGTTGAGAACACACAGGTGTTCTGGCTCCACAGTGTCAAGGCTTCGCTCTCTCTCTCTCTTCCCCAGTGAGCGGGCTGGGGGTAGACAAGAGGGTGGAAGGCAAAATAGGCAGGACAGCTGACCTGAGCCGAGCAAAGGGATACTGCATGCTGTAGCGTGTTATACTCAGCAGTAAAAACTGAAGTAGAGAAAGAAGAAAGTGGAGGGGGGGAGGGTCTGACTTCCAAGGTGACTGTCACTTGGAGACTGGCCACGTATCGGCCTGCTGGTGGGAGGTGGTGAGCGACTGCCAGTGAAACGTGGTG